TCACTGTACAAAAGAACTGAGAATAAATAATATTCCAGTTTTATATTGTGAAGCAGTAAGACGATAAATGGCATAGGCTGAAGATGACCAGAGGGGATAAGGCCTCTCTTTGGGTAAGGCAATTTCACTGTGAATCACAACATGATCTTCTATCATCGGTTACTGAAACCAATGCTCCTAAACTCTGGCTCTCAACTGGCTGCTGCCCCTTCAATTTAAAACTATGCTGTTTTTCTACTCATCTGCCTCCTTCTTTTCAACCAGCTTCAGGAGTATTGGGAAAGCTGAGGGAGTTCTGGGTAAGAACTCCCAGCCATTCCTCTTTCCTAAAACATGGACACTCTATCCTGGGTTTCCCCCTTAGTTTTCACCTCCCAATACTATGTCTCACCCAACCTCTGCATTATCTCCCTAATAGCAACACTCCATAAGGTATCATCTGGCATCATTTTCTCCTTTTTCCTTAACTGAGAGTATGAGAATGCTCCACAGCAAAGCTGCAGTCCTAGACAGAACACAATATTGCTGATTTGTGTATGTGGGCTAAAACTGGGATCTTACTTCCTTCTTGCTAGTTTTGATTCATGGCTAATATTTTATGAATACATGCAGTCTGCAATTTGGACAACTGGTTCAATACAAAAATAACCCAAATACTGCTGTTCTAGAACTTAAGGGGCTTGCTATTAATTGACATCCTTTTCAGCCAAAATTGGGCAAACTACAATATAATTATGAAGATCTCACTTGCTTAGGCTAAACATTCAAACTAAATGCAATTTGTAAGTCACTAGAGATGCGCTGTCTTTGCAAGTTCTGATATCAACCAACTGGATCCATATTCATGTTCACTAATATGAAGTTTGAACTTTGCATTTACTGCCTTTTTTCACACTCTAGATATTTCTACAGTATATGGCTTCAAAAAGTATTAAAATATTTTAAGAATTTGATATTTTGATAGATAATTACTTTTTTAGAAAATACAAATTGAAATATTGATTTAAGTATCAATATTTAGATTGGCTTATAAGCATATTGTTCAAGCAGAAACAAGAGATAACGTATGTATTAGTGTAGGTATGCAAAATTCATGCAGACCATAAAAAATCTCACTCTTCCATTATTATCAAACTTCTATAGCTAGGGTTAAAAAATAATCTTGCAAAGAAAGGAGAATATCTAGATCCAAAAGAGGCTATGATGCTTGCTGATAGGCCTATGTACAATCTGGCAGGACAGAAATTATGCAGGTCTGATCAAATATGATAAATCCATTTTCTGCTACTATGGCCATCATCTTTACAGTGTTTCTACTTGTCCCTGTGAAGGCTTTTATTGGAACTAACTTCCTTTGTTTTGAAACATCAGGATTTCAGGGCAACAGAACTCCCATTCAGTGGCAATTTAGTTGAGGAGGTTGTCCAATAGCAAACCACTCAGTCAATTTTACCTAAATTCAAGCCTCAGATGAAACATACATTTCCAGAGAGAGGCAAGTCATCCATAGTGAGCTTCAGAAGCAGTCTAGGAATTAAAAAAAAACAGAGGTCCAGCCACGGAGAAAGGTTCCAGGAAACAGGCTGGGTCAGAGACCAATACACAGATGTTGCTCCATCAGTGACTGTTAGAAATCAAGCTCATGAAGCAAGAGCTTGTGAAACCACATCTGATACACAACTGCCACTATTAGGAACTCCAGAAACAATAACCTATTCATGGATTGGGTCTAACTCCCAACCAAGCTTTTACCTGTTTCTTTCTCAGGGGACCAAGAACATCCAAACTTTGATTCAGGGCTTTCTAAAAGATTTCAAAAGTTCTTATTCATCCTCTATTGCAAAAAAACTACACCGAAGTCACGATGATGCCATCTCAAAAAAAAAAAAAAAAAAAATCCCTTTTGTAAGACAGATGGAAAGCAAAACAAAACAGATACTATAGAAACACAACATGCTGTAGTTTGTAGAGGTAGTTCAAAGTTGTAATCTGCACAATATAATAAATAACAATATATATTATTGATGTGCTTTTGAACTTATGGTCGAGGTCTACAGCCAGTTTTTATACAACTTGAAAAAAATGAAACTAGGGCATTTGATAACAATAAATCAATTGATAAGGACACAAGATTTTGCATGTTACAATCTCTTCATTTTATTGTACTAAAATAAGTTATGCAAATGGTTGGTTTTGTTATGACAAGAGAAATATAGATGGACGATCAAATCTTTTTTATTTTTGAACATTACATGCCAAATATTGTGTTCTATAAAATGAATATGCCTGTGATATATTTATCCTTGCTATAATCATAATTATTTCTAAGATAATAGCATTTATTTTTGTAAAGTTGATAGCATTTCTCATAAAATGCTGTTATGTATAACAGAAAACCAAATGCATTAATTAAAACCAGATAGGGATAATTAAGGTAATTTGGCATTGCTTATTAATGAATAACAAAAATGAGAGCCAGAAAAGCTTTAAATAAACCACTGAAGGCATCAGCATTAAATATTGATAAGAACTGGAGACATTTTGAACACATGAACTGAATACTGTATAATGAACAACCGACTATATTTTATGTCAAAACTTTGTGATATGGAAGAATTAGGAACCCAGTCAAGTTCTCCAGGACCAGAAATAAATTCAGGACATTTGTTGAAGTCTTTCTTAGAGATGAAGGAAATGTCAAACACCTTCCAATTCTTTTATATCTAAACTAGAGAAAAAACAAAGTCTTAATCTCTGTAAGTCTTCTCTTTTCCATATAAACCACTGAAATGGCTTTACTTCGTTAATTTGCATAAGGAAGAGCCCCTACAGAGGCAAGAACGAGGGACAGACTTACACTTTTAGGTGTTTATTAAATAATGTATTTTTATTATTTTGGATGAGGAGGATCCTTGTAGAATCAAATGTAAGGGTAATGGAGAGAAACACATCCTATTTCCAGTGGAAAGTCCCCCCCCCCACCCCGTATCTGATTTTTCTTCTATACAAGGCTAAAGTCCGTTAACATAGGTTTGGGTTGAAACATCGCACAACTGAAACCAATGCCAAGGTTAAGAAGTTCATTCAATGTCACACACCCAAATCAGCAGATCTCAAGCAATTTCCTAGTTTTATCTGAGACTAAATTCTGAAATGTCCTTTGTTTTAATTAAGAAATAAAAAGAAGGTCTTTCTCAATAATCCAGTAAAGAAGACTGTTCTTCTCTATAATTTAATTCTGGGGAGAATATTGACTCTTTGCTTATTTTATTTATTTATTTATATAGCAAACTTATATAGCTGCCCATCTCATAAAATGTGACTCAGGGTGGCATCCAAACATAGTAACAATTAAAACCATATAAAATTCAAGAAACATCAAAGAAAACTAAAAACAAAAATAAAAAATAAAGAGATGAAAAACCCCAAGATAGCAGGAGAACAACAGTTACTTAACCTCATACAAGCCACCCTGCAGGTTCACCAAGGTTGATAGAAGAACCATGTTTTCAGGGTTTTCTGGAAGGCTAGCAGGGATGGAGCTAACCTCACCTCATGGGGAATAATGTTCCAGAGGGTTGGGGCCATAGCAGAAAAAGTGGGTCTCCTGAGCCCCACCAGATAGGACGCCTTAGGAGGCAGGATCCAAAGCATACCCCTTCTGCTTGACTTGATGGGATAGGTAGATGAAACTGGGAAGAGGCTGTCTCTCAAATAACCTGGCCCCATTCCATGTAGGGCTTTAAGGGTCAAAAACGGCACCTTGAATTGCACTCAGAATCAAGCTGGCACCAGTGTAACTTGCGGAACAGAGATGTAATGTGTGCCATCCCAGGGTCTGCATAGTTGCATTCTGCACCAGCTGAAGCTTCCAGATGCTCTTCGAGGGCAGCCCCATGTAGAGTGCATTACAGTAATCCATTCTGGAAGTGACCAGAGCATGAGTGACAGTGAGTAGAGCCTCATGGTCCAGGAAGGGGTGCAGCTGGCACCCTGCATGAAGCTGTGCAAAGGCCCTCCTAGACACAACTACCAGCTGCTCCTCAAGCAGGAGTCATGAGTCTAGAAGGACCTCTAGATTGCACACAGGCTCTATCTGGGGTAGCACAACCCCATCCAGTACCAAAGATGTTGAAGTCCCATATCCAGAAGGCCGCAAAACCCAGAGCCACTCAGTCTTGCCAGGGTTCAGCTGAAGCCTATTGTGTCCCATCCAGACCCCACAGCCTCTGGGCATTTTGGCATCACTTAGTTCACTTCAACCGCATCACTTAGGTCGCCAGGGGTGGAGATATATAACTAGGTATCATCAGTATACTGATGATACCTCACCCCATGGTGATGAATGATCTCACCCAGCGGCTTCATTTAGATGTTAAATAGGAGTGGGAAGAGTACCAAACCCTGCAGAACCTAACTTAGGGGTCAAGGGCGGGACCTCTCACTCCCAACTAATGAAAACTGGTACCAGCCCTGCAGAAAGGGAGTGAACCAGCACAATGTGCCACCCACTCTCTGGGTGTGCCACCCACTCCCAATCCATGGAGCTGATCCAGAAGGATACCATGGTTGATGGTATTGAAGGCTGCTGAGAGGTCAAGAAGAGCAAAGACAGATGCACTGTCCCTTTCCTGCTCCTGCCAGAGATCACCCAAAAGCGCGACCAATGCCATCTCTATCCCATATTGCAAAAATGAATAGAATAAGCATGTATTGTCCCCACTCACAAGATTCCTAGTACTTGCTTCAGCAGTAACCTCAGATTAAAAGACCATGAATGTTGTTTTACTTAAGTATTCATTCTTATAATAAAGGGTCTTGACTGTGTGCATCTTACACATGGATAGATAAAAAATAGGGGCTCTCTGTTTTATTATCTGACTAAGCTTTCAGATAGGGCTGCTGCCTTCAACTCATACATTATTCTTTATAATGCTTGTTGTCTCAAGGTTGCTTTGTTAAAATGTGCTCCATCATTTTTCCCTTCCTTCTCTCCTTAGGTTGATGGAATATTATGCTTGGCTGACATTCTTACAAATGATACACACTCCCAAGCTACTCATGCTGAAGCAGCAGCAGTAATAGCTCAGATCACATCTCCTCAGCTCACTTTCACTCAGCATCTCAACAGCTTTCTTGAGAACATGGAAGAAATTGTCACAGCACTTCTCAGTATGTATATCCATGAAAATTTCATGTTTTAATGTTAAGGTACAGAAGGCTTTGGGAATTTTTAGACTAATTACCAGATGCTATGTGTTATATGTAAATCATGTAATCTTTCTTACACTTTGTGTCATTTTTCTCACTTTCTTCATTTTTTTGACTCCCACTCTGGAGAGCCTGTTTCAACTGGCACACTGACTCTTAGCAGGAATATTTGAGCGCAGTATTTGAGTTGAGCATAGCACTTCTACAGATTAGGAGAATTTTCAGATATCCTAGTCTCGGATTGCTTAGGAAAGGGGGTGAAAAACTCTTTTCAAGCAAAGGTCACATTTCATTCTTCCTTAACTTCTATCTTCTGCATGTCTTTGGTAGTGATGCCTCTTTCTCAGAGAGGAGAGGTTCAAAGCAAAAGTGGCATGATTTCTTTCACAGTGTTTCATATACATCCATATATATTCCATATATAATAATAGTTTAATATCAGATAGGAATTGATCCTTGTGGATCAATTAGTTTTATACATCTGCTCATACTATTTCATTTTATTTTAAAGCATCATCATAAAAAACATCCAATCTAAGTATACAAACCTAGACCTGCAACAGTGTTAATACTAATGGATGGTCTTGTTCTTGATTTATCTTCCTGTAAGTATAATAAATATTAATAAGCCATTATTGGTCCTTGGCCAATTTTAACAACTATCTGTGTATTCTTTATTTTTTAACTAAAGTGGTGGAGAGGGCTGTGTCATTGCAACTGTAGGTGCTTTTGATGAAATGGGTTATCTTGATCTCTGCCAATTTGTACTGAGATCCACATTTGGTACTGAGATGGCCTTGATTGCTCTGATGAATGATCCATTCATTCAGGAATGCATAGTTTTAGAAAAAGGGCCAATATGGTGTAGTGCTTCAGATGATAGCCTAGGACTTGGGAGACTGAGGTTAAGATAGACCTTCAGCTTTGCAGAGTCACCAGGTGACTTAAGGCCATGACTATCTCACAACTTCACATATTCCACATAGTTGTTGTTTTAAAAATTGAGGCAAGAATAGTATACTATTTACACTGCCTTATGGTCCTAGAGGAAAGGCAGGACAAAATCTAGCCTACATTTCTTGATGGCTTTCAGTACTATTGATGATGGTGTCTTGCTGAAGTGCTTCTGGATGCTTGGGAATGGAGATATCACCTTGTAGTGATTCTACTCCTTTTTTTCCTGGGCACTATCAACGAGTAGTATTGAGAGATTTCTGCTCAGCTCTTAGATATATTAGAGACAAAAGATATATTGATTGAAAGTTCTGTGTAGATTTTTGTAATAAGTCTAGAATTTCCCCACTTGAACATTTATTCACCTTCCACATCTGTGAATAAACAACTTTCTGGAAAAAATTCTTGTAGGGTGTTTATGCCATAACTAATCACTAATAAAGTGATACAAATAATACCCATGAAAACTGGTGCAATTTCAAATTAAATTAACACTGCTTGATTTAACTGTCATTAGATACAGTAGGATCAAGGCATTGATGGGCCAACAGTTTGGTGTTTAGTGCTCCTGACAATAAACACTGTAGAGATACATACATCCAAAAAAAAAAAAAAAGCAAAGCAATTATGTAGAACAAGAATCCAAACCTTTTGATTAACCATGTATTTTAGGGAATTATGCCTCACTTGTTTTCTTGGAAGCAAAATTCAAATATACCATCAATGATAGAAGACTGATGTTCAGGTACAAACTGGCCTTCAACTTTTACAGCACATAGCATAGCTGCACATAAACATAAAGACACATAAATATTTCAAACTTGCCAAAAAAAAAAAAACGAACCACGGAAGAGTACTCAGTCTCTCTCTCTCTCTCTCT